TAAATTGACATATATAAAGTTAAATTGTGTTTTTTAATTTTTGTAAATAAAATGTAAGCAAGAATCAAAACAATAAATGAGTAGAGCAAGCAAGTATTGACTTGTCTCATCATCCCATAAATGGAAGAAAATGAAATGTTGGAGCTATGAGACGACCTTGACTTAATCCGAACCATTAATCATAAGCTGAGATGCTCTGTTTCTCAGTAGCTTCATTATCTTTTCTTGTATTTTCAGTTATCTTCAAGATTTTAGAAGACTTATCAGTTTATTTTACTAATTTGTTTTGACACTTTGTTTTACTTTTAATTGTTCAAATTATTAAAAAAAAAAACAATTATCAGTAACCCATGCATGCATATTTATGTATTCAACAAATATTATGATTAATTACATCTGAGTTGTCTTATACGTCAAAAAATTATTTCGGAACTTCTATTTTTTTTTTAAAAAAAAATAAAAATTGTCTTTTAATGTTGACTAGTGAGACTAATTCTGATTGATTATCACCTTTGGAAACTTTCATAGTTATGAAACTAAAATTGAAGATTTGTCATGCAAATTAAAACCTCAACTATAGATTTTGATAATGATCCAAGTAGGATTCATTGTCTTCTCAAGCCCACTCATTCATCTTTTGGTTTCTCATTTTTTACAGCCTTCCCATGGTTACACTTTGCTTTAAGTTTCTACATCTCTCCAAGGTTCAAATCATGCATCTTATAAGTTGGGAAGTATACGGGCATCGACTGAACTAGCAAACGAGACTCGCGCCATAAAGAAGTTGAAACAAGAACCATGGGAACTCATGCATATGCTTGTACCATTTTTTCCTAGTTTTTTTTTTTTTTTTTTAATTTTCTTTAAGGAGGATCAATAGTGTTCTCATTTTCTCTTTCTCGGTGACTTGAACTCATGACCTATTGGTTATAGATGAAGCATCTTACTTGTCAGTCGTGCTTCGTTGTCTACCATTTTTTTTCCTAGTTGTCTTTTAACAAATATAACTCCTCATGAAGTACATGGTCGACAAGACCAAGCAAACTTACAAGAGAACTCCAGGCATTAGACTAAATAGCAATCGTACAAATAACTCCCGGCTATAGCCACTAAATGATTAACAAATTCTCCCCTACTCACGATGGACAAATGTTAATATACCCACCGCTTATGTGGCATGCACACACTGGTGATGCTAATATGTTCAAAAAAAAATATCACCAATGTGTGCATCCTACATAAGCGGTGAACATATTAATATGTGTCCATTGTAGGTAGAGGAGCATTAGAAATGGTTGCTTTGGTCAACCACATCTTCTATTAAGGCTTGTAGCCACTCCAAGAAAGACACTTATAATATCTCAACCATTTTTTTTTCCATTATACAAAATCAGAAACAAGCGTGCGGCATGCGTCACTCGCGACGTCGCGGGCATGGAATGGTGGCACTCACGACGTCGCGGGTGCAGGAATGACGCGGTGCTCGCGAGCGCGCAGGCTAGGGCGCGCCGCGGGTGCCGGCAGGGCTGTGCGGGCACGGACCCGATCATGGCCCGGGACAGCTCGGTCGATGCGTTTCCCCAAACTCGATAAAATGGACCTAACCAACACCAAAAAAACAAAAAAATACAACAAAACACAAAACAATACACGAAATACGATAAAATGGACCGATCGACACTAAAACGAACTTAAAAAGACTGGACTAAACATAAAACACACGAAAATAAGCACAAAAACACAATAAAAAATGATTTTTGTAAAATTTAGGTATCGTATCTTAATTAAATTTAATTATGTATATATGAAATTATTTATTATATACAAGTTATCCTCAACCAAGTTGTCATGTTTTATCAAGACTAGGAAGATGCACGTGCTACACACGTGGTATTTTTTTTCAAATTATTTTTAGTATTATGTTTATATTTAAAAGATACTAATATTTGACCCTGTGCATTTGCACAGATGTAAATAAAGTATTGTAAGTTATTTGTATGCATATAGTGATTAATTATTTTTCTTTTACCTTTTCGCTGACCAAATTTACAATTAAAGAAGTTGAAATATTTATTTTTTTAAATAGCGTTTATCTGATTGAATGTAAAGTTTATTTTGGTTTGTCTTTTTTTTTTGTGAATTATTTATTATATATTTAGAAATTTCAAATACGTTTTTTTATTTTTAAAATATTAATTTAAATGTAACCACAATAATAACATCTAATTATATTATACGGTCAACACATTATATGTCAAATGTCAGTAATTAAAAGTTTAAAATGATTTTTGTAATTTTGAAGTGATTAGAGTTGATTATTTAATAATTAAATGAAAGATTAAATACATCAAAAGTAACAGTTTTTGGAGGGAAAATTGTTAAATTTCCACATAGGTAAAATTAAATAAGTTTTATTAAATTCTATTAGCTAGTAATTGTATATATATATAGATAATTTTCTTTAATTTAGTTTAACAAAAAATTGTGTATTTTATTGAATAATGAAATATAGTATTTAATACTATTATCTCAACTCTATGATGAATAAAATTTAAAAAAAAAAAATTGGGTTGAAAACCAAAATATAAAATTAATATTTTTTTTAGTGAAAATGTAAATGCTAAAAAAATTTATAGTCTTTGATTTTGTTATTTAATGATATCATCATTGTGCTTAAAATAATGATCACTATTATTGTCTTCATAATATAACTTTCTAATGTCATCCTTTTACATCATACTCTTTGAAAAATAACTCAAATTTGCTATAACTATAATTTATAATGATTATTATTTATTTGTTGTCTATTGGAAGCTAACAAACTATGTCTAAATATAATTCGTTCTCAATTATTTTGATTACTGTGGTTGCAAGTATAATTATATTTGCAAGTATAATATTCATAATACTTAGATATATATAGTTATTCCCTAGTCATATTTGACATACGAGATACATAAATATTTGAAAATGTCTTTAATTCAAGTCGTAATTAACTAATTATTTCAAAAAGAAAATTTACTTGGAAAGCATAAGAATAATAGCTTTATTGATTAAAGCTACCCATCTATCTATATATCTTTTCTGACATAAATTATTGTTGCATCTCCTAACATTGTCATACATCTATTATCTTCATTCACGAATTTTTTCAAAACTATCCTAAATGTGAATAATTACTAATTCCAGTTTAAATGAAATATGTAATGATGATTCTTTCATATTTGTTTTTATCTTAACATTATTTTTATATCTTCGTCAACATTTCATCCCTA